CTGACTCTTTTGACCAGAGAGTACTGTCACTTGAGATCCCTACCCGACAATCTTATATTCCACTCATTCCCAAATTTCCAATCTTCTAGGCACTGAAGGGTTCTGCACAAAGAAGCCCCTTAGACTGTTTGATTATGAGGATATTTCTCTCTTTGTGCCTTTCTTAACAAGCTTAAGAAGAAGGCATTATGAGATGACACATACTCTGTCTGGAAGAATCTCTCTCTTGTCTGTCTTTGACAATCTCCCACACCTCCATCTTGGATATGGAAGAGAAAACATATAGCATGTAAGTTGGTGGCAGCTACTTTTTGAGTAGAATGACATCCAACCTTAGGATGAAGTTGACAATATAAAGACAGAGTGAAGAGACAGAAAGACGTGGGGCCTCTAAATAACATTTAGCTGCTGAGTTAAACCAACCCTTAACCTAATAAAACTGCTGGAATTCCAGTTATATGAGTCATTTTGTTGTTTAAGGCTTTGTGACTATTTTCCATTACTTGCCAACCAAACACATTCTAATATATCCAATAACCAGGAAATATCTTTACCAAATAACAAAAAAATATATAAATAGAATCAAATTCTACAAATACTATACATGCTACACATACAAGAACATGTGGGGAATATGCATAAGTGCTTAGCACTGTGGGGAATAGATAAGTGAATTAAGGACAGTGTGTTAAAATGGAATGGGTATAGGCTTTAAAGTCAAATGAATCTGGATCCAAATCCTACTTTGGGAATTCATTTAATTTCTCTAAGCCTAGTTTTCTCATCTATAAAATGGAGAAAATATGACTACAGAATTGTGAATTATACCTAATATATAAAGCATTTTTTTTTAATGAGAGAAAGTCTTTACCCTCAATTAGAGTAGAAAAGACAAATAATTATGATCTGCTAATTGGGATATTTATCAGGTATGGGAAAGTGCAACAGTGGTTCCAGTTCTTCACCCTTTATGGAATCTATGCCCTCTGACATATAACTTTGCAGTATGCTCCCAATGTGGACTCAGGCATGTGACTTGTTTTGTCCAATGGCGATGTTGGCCAAGCAAACTTGAATATAGGCAGAATCATGAAAAGCACTTATGCAAATGGCTGGCATACTCTTGCTATTCTGGTATCATCATGTCCAGGCTAGTCCGCTGGTCCCAGAAGAAGGATGAGAAGCAGCTAGAGCAAAGCAGTCCCAGCAAAGCCCAACCTAGATCAGACTACCGGATGACCTGACAGATGCATGAATGAGCCCAAGTGAGACTAGCAGAAGTGCTCAACTTGCAGATGTACAAGAAATAAATGTTTATTGTTGTATTCTTTTGAGGTTTTTATGGTTGGGCATTATATAGCAATAGTTAACTAATAATACACAGGGTTATATTTTCTGTCTTTAAAAACTGAAGATTTCCACTTCCTTGATACTCATGACCAAATGAAAGACAATGTTAGGTCTCCTGAGTCAAAGAAATACTTATGGAACACTCCTATTTGATACATGAAATTTAAAAGGTTCTGTTTGATCTTTTATCAAACTGTTTTCTCTGTAACAAACAACTCATTTGCTTAAAAACTCAGAAGTCTATACTTACTACAGGTAAAACTACCGGTGGTAGTTAGTAGTACCTAACTGTCTGATTGTTCCAAGTTCAGTTAATGTCTACAATTACAAACAACACTCACAGAAATGGTTAAAGCCTAAAAAAGTCCAGATCACTACTGTATACGAGAAGTACTCTTCCTAATAATATCAACACTTTACAGGCACTAACAAGAGCTATGTTTGTCTACTGTAATTATTGAAAAATTATTTTAAGAGAAATAAAGAATGGTGTTCACATTATTGTAAACAGCAGGCATTCCACCAATCAAGAGTTCCATCCAAGTTCCCAGTGCTGTGCTAGATGTTAGTAGTAATTTATTTTTATAATCCTTAGTGAAACCAAAAGTGTGCTGCCAAATTCAATTCTAAGACAAACATGTGAGTCCTCAGATATCTATGCCATAACGGCCCTTGGGGATCCCCTTCTGAAAATAACCAGTAACATTTGGATATTTGGCCCAAATGACCATCAGCCTATTAACACCACAATAAAAATTATAAGTTATGCCAATATCTGATTAATGATACTGGAAATATACACTCTTTCACAAAGCAGACACTGTATGTTGTATATGGCTATAACAAGCTAACAAACACAGAGAATATTACTTAAGTGCAACATGGCCAAAAGAATGCTGCATTAAGAGCATTCATTTCTGCCATTTCAACTACACTCCACTTCTAAATTTACAACTTGATCACAGATTTTTCTTTTAATGTTTATTTAGTTTTAGAGAGAGAGAGAGAGTGCGAGTGGGACAGGGGCAAAGAGAGAGGGAGACATAGAATCCGAAGCAGGCTCCAGGCTCTGAGCTGTCAGCGCAGAGCCCGATGTGGGGCTCAAACTCGCAAACTGCAAGATCATGACCTGAGCCTAAGTTGGATGCTTAACTAACTAAGCCACCCAGGTGCTCCATGATCACAGATTTTAAAGCATGTTCTTTGTCAGAAAAACCAACATACAAGCCCTTCCAGTAAACTGACATTTCAGAGAACAATGATACAAACATGGAGTACAACAAATACTTTAACAATTATTAGTGTCAGAGCTCTGGCAGAAAGCTTGAGAGAAGGAGAGAGTTTTGTCTTTGAAGAATTTATAGACTCACTTCTGAGAAAAGAAATACACAGAAAATGTTTTTGATCTGAAATGCTGGTCATGGGCGGGTTCATTTGTAAAAATTTAGTGAGCTGTACACATTTCATATGTTATAACATTTCTGTTATGTCACACTTCAATAAAAAGGGTTTTTTTTAAGTTTATTTATTTTTGAGAGAGAGAGAAAGTGCAAGTCGGAGAGGGGCAGACAATGAGGGAAAAAGAGAATCCCAAGTAAGCTGTATGCTGTCAGCGTGGAGCATGATGTGGGGCTTGAATCCACAAGCCATGAGATCATGACCTGAGCTGAAGTCAGACACTTAACCCACTCAGCCATCCAGGCGTACCCAATAAAAAGTTTCTAAAATTTTTTTTTAAATTTTTTTTTTTTTCAACGTTTTTATTTTTGGGACAGAGAGAGACAGAGCATGAACGGGGGATGGGCAGAGAGAGAGGGAGACACAGAATCGGAAACAGGCTCCAGGCTCTGAGCCATCAGCCCAGAGCCCGACGCGGGGCTCGAACTCACGGACCGCGAGATCGTGACCTGGCTGAAGTCGGACGCTTAACCGACTGTGCCACCCAGGCGCCCCTAAAATTTTTAATAACATTAACCACAGAATTGAACTAAGTATCAATTGAAAAATATTGACAATTTAAGGAGTTTGGGAGGGACCAGTCATTGCTAATAATAAAAGCTGTAACAGTTAAAATGTACTAAGCAATTACTATATGCCAGCCACTGTGCTAAATAAGCATTTTATATTTCATCCTCACAAAATCCCTGTGAGGTCATCTTCTTATCAGTAGGATCTGCTACAATTACTGACTCCCTCCTTCTTGAAACTCCTTCCTTTCCATTCCAGGCCAATACACGCTCGTGGTTTCTCTTCCTACCTCACTAATCACTCCCTCTCAAAATGTCTTCTCCTCAGACTTTTAAAATTAAATACTTTAGGATTCAGCTATTGGTCCTCTTTTCTATCTAGACTCCCTGGAACAGATACTATTATTTTTTTATTCCCATTTTACAGACAACACCACTGAGACACAGAGAAATTCAAACCTAGGCAATCAAGACTTCAGAGTCCATGCTCTTAACCACCTCATTATTCTGCCTTCTTTGGCCTTCCATATAAGAGGCAGGACAGAACTATACACATTCCACATTCTGGTGCCCTCGGTAACTGAGAAAACAGACACAGAGTGAGGTACATGGGACCTTCCTTTATCAGATATTAGGGACAAATATAGGGCACCAAGCCAGCAGGAAACCAATACTTGCAAATTCTTTTTTTTTTTTTTAATTTTTTTTTTCAACATTTATTTATTTTTGGGACAGAGAGAGACAGAGCATGAACGGGGGAGGGGCAGAGAGAGAGGGAGACACAGAATCGGAAACAGGCTCCAGGCTCTGAGCCATCAGCCCAGAGCCTGACGCGGGGCTCGAACTCACGGACCGCGAGATCGTGACCTGGCTGAAGTCGGACGCTCAACCGACTGCGCCACCCAGGCGCCCCTTGCAAATTCTGTTAAACAATTTTCCTTCCTAAGTTTCTTCACTTTGTATTTTGATACTTACTTCCTAAGGAAGAATGTGAATACATTCTAGAACATAGACTCTTAAATCTAGACGCTCATTTGAATAATCTTGGGGAGCTTTAAGAACACATATGGGCCCTATGAAGACCTACAAAGCCTAGAAGATTCCAGGAAGCTGTGTTTCTGAGAAGGATCCAAGTAAATTCTGAGTTGATAGGTCAGTACCTAAGTTTAGGAAGCCTTTGTTCTAGAGAGGATTCTCTGGTCCTCAGAGGTTAAGTAGTGGCTTTACTACCTAGAAAAGACTGAAAATGAAATAAGACTGAAGATGTAAACTGATTCCAAGGAGTAATAAGACCAATCAGGACACTAGAACAGTGATTGTGGAATTCTATATCAGGACACCAAATGTTTCTGGATAGTCCGGGAATTTGTTGCCATGAAATAATCTGCAGCCAAGTGATGTCTCCCTTAGCTTTGGAAGGGGTCATCCGGGAAGCAAGAATCAGTATAACATTTGAGCACTCATATTCTCAGATTATTCACAAATATTATGAGAGAATCCAAGAGTATTAATAGATATGGCTATTTTCCCCAGGCAAGAGAAGAAAGCATTGTTAACACTATCATTTTTGTATAAATATAAATGCATACACATTTTGCTAACATTACGCAAGTAACAATTAGTATGGAACCACAAATGCTAAAACTAAGGCAAAGAAGTCACTTCAATATGCTTAAGTCTTACCTCTGTAAGTGCATGCAATTGTCCTTGATGTACACACACACCCATGAACCTATGAAACAAAAAAAAATTTTTTTAGCAAAGGAAAACAATATAACTGCCATATAAAGAAACTAGTTTAGCTACTCATGCATTGGAAATAATCCAATACCTGCGAAGTCTCCTGGGTTCTTGTATAATGCTGCAGCCTCTCAACTTTGATATCAGGCTGGTAATTTTTTTTTCCTTTAACTTTATTTATTTTTGAGAGAGAAGGAGAGAGCAAGCAGAGGAGGGGCAGAGAGAGAGAGGGAGAGCGAGAATCCCAAACAGGCTCTGTGCTGAGAGAGAACCTGTGAGAACCATGAGAACAATGAGAACCATGAGAACAATGACCTGAGCCAAAATCAAGAGTCTGACCCGTAACTGACTGAGCCACTCAGGCATCCCTCATTTGTTACCAAACTTTAATAGGTTACATTCACTATCTACATTTCTTTAACCTTCGTTCATTCCTAAACTCATTATAATTTGCCCTCTGCCGATATCACTTTTTTTTTTAATCTTTATTTTTGAGAGAGACAGAGACAGAGCGAGAGCAGGGGAGGGGCAGAGACAGAGGGAGACAATCTGAAGCAGGTTCCAGGCTCTGAGCTGTCAGCACAGAGCCCAACACGGGGCTTGAACTCACGGACTGTGAGATCATGACCTGAGACGAAGTCGGACGCTTAACCGACAGAGCCACCCAGGCACCCCAGCCAATATCACTCTTTAGTAACTAACCATCCTTACTATGAAGAATTCGTTGTTTTACATACTTTTGCATTTCTAGTACCTAGTATAGTATCTGGCACAAAAGATTTGTTGAACAGCATAAATGATTATGACCTACAAACTTAAGTTGAAGCTCTTCTCTTTACTTTATTTCATTTTACTGAAAATAATCCTTCCAGGATCAGCTAAAATTTCATCTTCTCTATATTGATCTCGGGGATATCTTCACTTATCATTAATCCTCTCTCTCCCTCCTCATCTCAACAGTACTGCTATGCACTTTCACTCTGCTTTGAAAGATTGTTCATTAGCCTAACTGAGGTGGTCCAGGGTCTGGAGTCAGACTGCTTATATTTGAATCCTGGCTCTGCCACTTCACGATGACATCCCCGTATTTTAGTTTCTTCATATACAAAATGGGAGTATTACTATTACCTAACTCATATGGTTATTGTGAAGATGAAATGACATAACTTGGGCTCCTAGAACATACTAAGAACTAGAATATATTAACTGTTCTTCTTTTAACATTTGTGACTTCTTCTCCAGAATGGAATATAAGAAAGATTTTCAAGAATACAGATCTCTTCTCATTTGTTTCTACATATAGTGCCTGATACACAATGCTTTGCAAATAAGATGCTAAACAAACACTTCTTGAATGAAAAAGCAATGATCACCAAATTAGCTTCACAATTTAAATTCATTTTATAAGAAAGAACCCTTTTTTTTTTTTTTTTTTTTT